GTGATCTGAATGTAGAGGGTGTACTCATTTACAAATTGTTCACAGAGTATAATGCCTGGGGAGAAACAAAGATGGTATTAGTCTCCTTCCCCTGCCAGGGTAGCTGGTAAAACCCAAGATGTCTCAGAGTTCTCCAAGGGTGCTTGTCTTGGTTAGTGTTCTATTGCTGTGAAGAGACACCATGACCACAGAAACTCTTATGAAAGAAAGCATTTAATTGGGGCTGGCTTATAATTCGGAAGTTTTAGTCCATTATCCTCATGGCAGGGAGCATGGTGACACATAGGCAGGCATGGTGCTGGAGAAGTAGCTGAGAGTTCTACACTGACAGCAGAAAGAGAGACTCACTGGCATGGCTTGAGCTTTTGAAAGCCCCAAACCCACTCCTGGTGGCATACTTCCTCCAGTCTCTCTCAAATAGTGCCACTCCCTGATGACCAAGCACTCAAATATTTGAGCCTATGGGGGCCATTCTTATTCAAACTATCCCGGTACTTTTGGCCAAAGGATGGCTCAGGGGCATTGAGTATGAGTGTGATCCCTGTGAACATGCACCGTGGGGTTTGGCAGAGGGTAGCCAGATCTGCTTCATCTGTTTGGCAGAGGGCAGCCAAATCTGCCAAGACCTATGGGGCCTCAGCTCTCAGTATGATCCCTGGATTAAATGATCAGCACTATTTGGGAGCTTATTACAGATGCAGAATCTCAGGCTTTATCCAGGCTCAGACCTGCATGTCCATAAGGTCCTTAGTTGATCATGAGCTCATGGAGATCTGGAGCCCTGTGGATGGAGTTTCTGTCTTACTGGTCTCACAGCTGTTCAGTCCCAAATAAACACAGAGGCTTATATAAATTATAAATGATTTGGCTAATGGGTTGGGCTTCTTATTGGCTATCTCTCTCTTAATTATTAACCCATTTCTATAAATCTGTGTATCTCCATGTAGTCTTGGCTTACTGGTGATGCCCGGGGCCTCTTGCTTCCTGGGCAGCTACATGGTGTCTCCTTGACTCCACCTACTACCTTTCTCTATCCCTGTTTGAATTTCCTGACTGCCTAAATACTGCCTGTCTATTGGCTGAAACAATTTTATTCATCAACCAATAAGCGACACATATATTCACAGCATACAGAAGGACATCCCCCATCAGAGCCCTAACCCTTGGCAGACACCCAGATTTCTCACCCAGATTTTCTCTCATTCTAACAGGGGAAAAAAAGAGCAGGATGCTTCTGCATTTCTTGGGAGGCATGTAGAATTTGATTAGGTGGAAGCTCCACCTTTCTTTCCCCAGATCCTGCCTCCTCAGCCTGCCAAACAGTGGTCCCTCCTCTCAGGAAGCCGGCCATCAGGATGCCTGGGACCGTGCCTACCAGCTATTTAAAACCCAGCCCATAGATCTGCCACATGTGCCCTTGTGTTCTATCCCCTGCTTTCCTGAGGGCCACTCAAGAGTGCTGTGTTTTGCATTGCCCTATTTATTAAATCTGGATCTATCCCTTTGGTCTGATTTGGATTATTGCATTGGCAGTGGAGGAATCCAGCAACTGGGGATCCAATACTTAACAGAATCCAATATTGCTTTCTTCCTCATTGTTCATTCACTTTGTGGGGTTCTTTTTGGTGGGTTAGGAAAGGCCTGGCATGCGGGGTATTCACTTGACTTGGGTGGTTAGCTGTTGAGCAAGAAAGGCATTCCACTGATATTAGGTGCAGGCCTTAAGTTCTAGACAATTAAAAGTTGTGAAATGTGGCTGTGCTCTAAAGAGTTCATCATGACTCCATTATCCAATGAGTGGGTGCTTCCCATTTGGTAGAGCATACAGAGGGCCACCAGACTGACACCATGCACCCCAAGAGCAGTCCTAATTGAGGGGCAGCAACAGCCGTCGGAACTGAAACTCACTGAGGAAGCCAGGAGATAGGACTTTCCCTGGGTCAAGAGCAGCTTATCATTAGATTAAAAAAAAAAGTACCACATACAGTACTTAGTCTAGTGATAGGTGGGAGCCCCATAGGGCCACAAGTCTTGGCCACTTGATGCAAAGAGCTCTGGATGCACTTAAGTCTCATTGCAGTGCACTCTCTCTCCCAAGGAGAATGCTGGGGTGCACCTGTTGAATCAGGAGGACTCATCTGTGAGATGCTGAGGAGGGTGACTTCTGCAGCTTGGGGGCCAGGTGCTTGCCAGCTTCACCTGAGAGTAGATAACAGCAGACTCCTGGAGGGCACAGGGTAAGGGCGGAGCTGGCAGGCCCATAGGGGAAGCCAAAGGTGTCAGGAGACTCACTGTATTTGTGGAAACCCTGAGTTCAGAGGCCACTGTAGAAAGAAAGGGAGAATTCAAATGTGGGTGCTGCTTGGAGGTCCAAGTGTTCTGTTCAGTGAGGTCACCCTCCTTGCCCTCCCTCCTTTCCCTAGCCATCCTTCTTAACTGCATTTCACCATGCTGCCAAGGGCTGTCAAGGGAGTGAAACTTGCTTTCTAACCCATTAGTTGTTTGGTCTTAGATTCGTGCCACACATTGTGGAGAGGCAGAGGTACCATGCTTGAGCCGTGAGTCTGCCTTGCTACCCCTGTGATGTGGCCCAGGGCACATCACTCAGCTTCTCTGTCTCTCATCTATATGAGGATTACTGTGAAGATGTGTGTGTGTTTACATTCGGGTGTGTGTACACCAGGTATGTAGTTAAATCTGTACAATGTCTGTCTCCTTCCTCGTGTGGACAGTGTCTTTGTTCTCCCTCACTGTCTTTATCATATATGTTGTAGTCATTCATGAGGTATAGTTCTAAGGGAGAAATGTGTATTTACTTATAGACCTTAGAAATGAACCTAGTACATGAAAACTGCTCAGTGTGTGTTACTGTTATGTTGCCTGAGCATCCAGGTATCCTGAAACTGTAGTGAATTTGACCCTGGAAACATCCTTTTTGGCGATTTAATAGTTATATGACCTCAGGCCAGTAGTTGAAGGTCTCTGTGTCTCATCTACAAAATACGGACAATAATGCTCCCCTCTAAGGGGTTGTAGGGTTAAATGATATGTGTTAAAGGAGTATCACAGAAGAAAAAATGAGATGCAAGTTTGTTTGACTTTATACAAAAGTTGGAAACCCAAAAAGAGAAACACAGTGGATAAAACCACACAGCACTTTTTGTAAAGCAGACCTAAGAAAAGCCTGTTCAAGGACGTGGTTCCCCTTTCCTTGTCCTGATAGAAAGCAAGCTAGGCTCCCTCATTGTAGTCACCTGTAGAGTGGGGGTTTATGTGTGTTATAGTGAGACGGCCAGCATGCAGCCATTGCCACAGCTGTTCAACACCCCCTTGCTGAACAACATTTCCACATCTATGTCCTCAGAACACCCTCACCACAGTTCCACAAGACAATGTGGCACCTGGAGCAATACCCCTGATATTCATATTCCAGTCCTTCAGCCTGTGAACATGTGGTCCTAGGTGGAGAAGATGGACCTTTAGGTTGTGGATTGGTCATGTGGGGGAGGGAATCCTTAACAGTGGGACTACAATAATGTGAATTATTACATTCATGTGAGGCCTTAAACCCAGAGGCTTTTCCTTGCTGTGGTCAGAGGGAGGCCTGACTATGAAGGATGGTGAGGGTCGAAACACATGGTGGTGGAAGCGGGAGGTGGGAGAAGACACCCCTCCCCCGAAAGTAGGTGACTTGTAGAAATTAGAGCAGCCAGGAAGCAAACTTGCCTCTCAGCTCCAGAGAGGCACATTAGGACAATGTGCCAAGTAAGACCCAGTCAGACTTAGGGTCTACAGAGCTCCGAGTCTCCATGTGTATTGCCTCACGCTGCTGTTCGAGGTGGTTTGTTGTAGTGATAGAAAACTAGTGCAGAAGGGGAGGTTTTGTGGGCTGAATACTTGTGTCTGTTTCTAGATTCATGCTTTTAAGTTCTGAGTTGCAGTGTGGTGTTTTCAGAGTGGGGCCCTTAGGATAACCCGCCTGTCTGTGATGGGCTTAGTGCTCTTCTGAGGCATGAGAAAGAATAGAAAGGAGACATCTGTCTGCATGCCAGGAAGGAACCTTCCCAACAGAAACCCAACAGACTGGGTAAAATGCTGTACCCTTTAGCTCCAGCTCTCAAGAGTCAGAGGCAGGTGAATATCAGTGAGTTTGAGGCCAGCCTTGTAAAAAAGCAAGCTCTAGGCAAGACAAGTCTATGTAGAAAGGACCTATGAAAACAAAAATCCCCCCCCCCCCGCAGGATTCTTATTGGCAATTGATGGCTGCTTGGGAAGGAGAGTCAGTTTTCTTCAGGGACACAGGCCCTGAGAGGCTTTCTGTGCTCCAGAAGATGGCTCCACACCCATGTACACACAGGCATGACTAAATGCACTCGGAAATTAAAAAAAGAAGAGAGCAAGTGAAAGAGACAGGGAATAGAGGAGGAACTCGAGGGAAGAAAACAGTTCTTGATCCAAATGCATCATACAAATGTATGAATATTTAGTACAATATTTTTAAAAGAAAATATATTTAAATTATTGAATAAAAGAGAATAAAAAAGAAAGGAAGGAAGGAAGGAAGGAAGGAAGGAAGGAAGGAAGGAAGAGAGAAAACCTGGCCATTGTTAGGTCTCAAAGAAACCTGGGACAAATGTCTAACTGAGGTGCCTATTTAACATATCAAAGCAGACTCTAGCACCAGTCTCCCTTGTCCCTACTCACAAGTACCTGTTCCTGGCTGGCATAACCCACCTTTACCCTCTCCAGTCCCTGGGTTTTTCTTCCCTTCCCCAGCTTCTCTTTTCTCCTGTGTAACTCAGCCATTTCAGCTCTGTGCCCTCTTGGCTCCTGGCTGGCTCTGCTCCTGGATCTCTCTTGGTCCACCTGTCCTCCCCTGATGGCCAACCCTTCCCATGCCCAGTTCAGTCTGGACTCTTCCAGATGCCTCTGGCTGTTCTCTCTCTCCTATCTGCAATAAACCCTCTCCTCAACCATACCTTGGAGCAGGCGTGTATTTTTCATTCAGCCATCTGGCACCTTGGTCTTGGGCTTTCAAACTTCTGAACTGTAACAAATATTTGTTATTTCAGCTGCACAATCTACAGTACTCTGTTTTAGCTGGGATGACGATCCTATTCCACCTTGTAGGTGCTGATACAGAAGCTCAGAGGAGACTACATGATGATTTTGTAATTCAGTGACCCTGAGCTCACCCATGGGCAATGGATAAGGCAGCACTGTATGGTAGCTCCAGACAGTGTAGGTACAAGTTAAGAAATCTTAGCATCCTGGTGAGGAGGGGCTCTGCCTGGCTGGCCCAGACCTGCTGAGGAGGTGGAGACTGAGCAAGAGTAAAGAATCCAGACTTCCCTAGATTTTACCTGCTTGTTTGCATCTCCGTTGGGTGCTCCACACTTGTGTGTAAATCACTTCTTCTTTAGGGTCTATCAGGAAGAAGGTAAAGTTTCAGAGGATAAGGGTCTTGCTTATGTATCTCTTTTCTCAGTTACTTCCCACTCTCTTGGCCAGTTTGTTCTCTGGAAGGATTTTAGCCCTCCAGAGTTTACCATCTTCCTGACCCTGCTCTGATATGCACCCTGTGATCTCTGCCAAATCAGAGACTAGAGGGCCCCTGTCCTCACCATTGTTGTATACTGGTTGCAGTTCTATACAGGCTGGTATGTTGTAATAGGTGGGCTCCTGGGGTTCTGAATATGAAGGGTTCCTGTAAGATAAAGAAACACTGATGTTTTCCAGGAAGTGAGAGAGTAGATGCTCATCCCTTTTTAGGAATTTTCAGTCAATATTATTCCCTTTTCTAGGTTTATGGCCCCATGGCATGTAAGAGGCACCACACTAAAGCTTAGAAATACTTGGTTCTGCTTTGTTCCCATTTTATATATGTAAGCAATGGGCATTCTATAAGGCTAAGTGACTTGTCCACACCACTAAACCAGAAAGAGGAAGAGCCAAGTCTTAAAACAGGCCCGAGACCCTTCTCTGTGATACAAAGATCAGATAGGCTCCAAGGAACTCTGGTGGTTTGGACACGGACACCATGTGAGACCCAATGACAGTTTGTGAGCTCCCTTTGGGTGACTATTAAAGTGAGCCTCGAGAATGCAAGATGGTGGCCACTTCTTCACAGACACTACTTGTTGACAGAATGACTTTTCTAGGTAGGTGAGGTATGTGGCTCCATCTTCTTGGCTGTCATTGCAATGGATTTTGATTAGGCTAGCCATGCTCAGAGATTTCTAGGCTAAGTAAGCTATATCATCTCAAGAGGGATGGATTCAGTGTCCGTGTGTTAGGAGAAAAGGAGCTAAAAGAGCACTTTCATGATTAACGTGAAAGAAGCCAAGTTTGCCAAGGAAGACCAGAAGCCCTTCCTCACCTTGGCAGTGTCTAACAAAGAGAATGTATGTGAAACAAAGCCCAAGACTTACATATGGGAGGGAGGAGGATCTATAAAGACCATATACCACATGGTCAGCTGTCTTTGGGGCTCTTTTCTTAGCTCACTAGCCTACTTCCATTCTTGGGCATGATCTTTCTTTTCTTAAGAAACTATTGCTACTCCATGCTGCTCAACATAAAAGGCTTGACTTCGTCTCCATCTCTCCTTGTTGGTCCTCCCAGGACTTTCAACTAAATTGTCCATGGTTTTCTCTTAAAGTCTAATAAAATTGTTATTGATCTTCCTTTGAGTCTGTTTCTGAATTCTTTTATTAATGAGAATAAGAACCCTCAAAGGGAACCTCAGTTTCCCTGTTAACTGCCAAAGAGGTCATTCAGACAGCCAAGCTAACAGTGGTAGAAGGAAGTGAGTTAATAAACGAAAAACATTTGCCACTTGATGTGAGAAGGAGGCTTAGCTTTCTGCAGCTAAGGGGAGGTTCTGGGAATTGGCTGGAGACATCCCAAGGGAGGGGCAGCATCAGTTGGGTACAACCCACCTCAGGAACACGTGTAGAAATTGTGCTCTTGTTGATAATAAGATTCAATTTACTTTTTTCTGTCCTATGGGTGTTTCATTACTTCCAGAAATAAGGCCGAGTTCTTACCTGGAGTCATCAGAGGTAGGCCTACCCCCTGTAAAGGAAGACATTGTGTTTCAGGAAGAGGGGACCTCTTCAGGAAAAGGACTAGGCGGCAGCTCAGATGGGGTTCACACAGTGACTTCCAGGAGATCTGAATCTTTGCTATGCTGATGGAGTGGGAGAGGAGTAAGAACAACTGATTTATTGCTGTTGTCCTCAAGTAAAAGGAACCTCTTCAATCCATACTCCTTTAACCTGGATTTTAAATGACAGTGGTCTTTAGTGACTACAGATAGTTTAGTAGACTCAGCAGGAATATAGACTTGATCATCGATTAAAATTTTAAAAAATCAGGCAATGACCACATCCGATTTGGGTTCTGTTTTTACTTCCATCTCTTGGAGTCTTTCTCTTCCTCTCATTCCCTGGGGAATCTTAGGACCACCCAGAGGAGAGCTTCTGCCCTTTCTGAGGTTAGACAAACAGCATCTCACGGAGGCATGTTGCTCTCAACGAGGTTGTTGAAGCAACTGTATTTTGGTAAACAGGAGTTCTGAAGGACCAGGGGGGAAAGGGGAGGGATCATGTGATGGAGGAGGAGGAGCTCATGAGAACCTAGAGCTAACCACATAGTCAGTGTGAGCATGCAGGGACAGAGATGGGAAGGGTATGCTTAGGAGCTACCCACCGGCTTTTCTAGAGAACCAGCAATAAAACAGTACTCCAGCAGCCGCCACAACGAACAGTCCCCCAGTGATTCCAGCGACCACAGGAACACTTCTGTTCTTGATCATGTCTGCGGGGCGGAGGATACCAAAGGATAAGGCCAGGAAGAAGTGTGTAGTTTTGAATGACTCTGAGTCTCGAAACTGGTGTTTTGGTGTGGGGGAGGAGAGGAAACTTTGCGATCAGAAGTCCTGAGGCTTAGTTGTGACTGATATGGCATGGGAGATGGCTCATTTGTTTGTGAGGAAGCTTGTCTCGGTGCCGATCTCTGCTCAAAGAAAGGCCGAGGGTTAAAATAGACTGTGGCTGGGGAGAAGAGGGCAGCTGGCTGCTGAGCTGTAAGCTCCCAAATGCTCTCTTAAGCCTCGCTCTCCCGCACCAATTTAGGACCACTTCAGAGTATAATGGCCTAGAGAGCCATCAGCTCGCGGTACTTGTCTTGGAGAAGCACTTTACTAGTCAGCCGTCATGAGTTCTGTGTGTTGAAGCATATATTCTGGTCTCATCTGGTTTGGGCATAAGAAATTTACCAGTGATTAAAAAAAAAAAGGGGTGTCTCTTTCTTACTGTGCTGGGCCCTTAGGCCATTGTCAGCCTCAAAGAAGTTTCCAGAATGTTCTGCAGTCCAAGAGATGTTGACAGACCACTCCCTCCCCCAGGGAACAGGGATGTTCCCCAGGGTGACATTGTTCATGGTAAAACTGGAACAGGATACAGGATTGGGGAAAGCCTCTCTCTCAGAACCTCAGAGTGAAGCTCTGCCACATTACCCACCACAGCCTGGACCCTGGGGGCCCTGAGTGTGAGGGCAGACCCGAGCACTGGAAATAAAACTTCAGCAAAAGCTTCTGCTTCTAACACATTTGTTATCCTTACAAGGGACAAGTTATATCATAAGCAAATGAAATTTAAATAAAAACATTTGATACACTTGAAAGCTAATTAAAAGCTAATCAAAGACCTACAAATAGCTTTTCATGAACAAAAATATTCAACAGAAAAGTGAACGTTTTATACAAATTACTGAAAATACCTGCCAGCAAATACATAAAAGACACATCTTCATTATTAATTAAATGCACAATTAAATCCATCCTTAAACTATTACTCCTTTCATGCTTAAATAGATCAATAATACAGATGAAGTTGTGGTGATGCAAACTGAGAACACTTTTTTGAATGGTAGTTTGACAATAACTATAAACTTAAAAACAGCTATAAACTTGGAGCCCACAATCCCAGGAGAAAAAAGGTGACCACCAAACCAGCCACAAAAGCTGAGATCTACATTGGTGACCTGCCTTCATGTATGCTGGGGCAGCTGTGGCACAGACTGGGGGAGTCACCAACCACTATCTGATTGGATTGAAGGCCCACTCCATAAAATGGAGCCCATACCTCACACTGCTCTGGTGGCCAAGAACTTGGGACTAGACATGCCATGAACCTTGGGGAAAGGCAAATACCATGTTCTGCTAAAGTAACATGGCAATCAAAGGACTCCTAGAGACATTCTGCTATACCCATAGAGTAGTGCCTCCCCCATCTACCATCAGAGAAACTTCTTCTTGCAGTAGATGAACAAACACAGAGACCTACAACTGTCCAATGTTCAGAGAATGAGGGATTTTGGAACACTCATTCCTAAGTGGATATCTTCATCGTACTATTCAGGGCTCAGAGAGCTATGGGGAAGAGAAGGTACAAAGATCGTAAAAGCCAGAGAAGATGGGTCACACTAAGCAAACAGTGTCTTTCAGGTACAACAGGAATGATAAATATAGGAACTTAAAGAGACTGTGGCAGCGTGCACAGGGACTATACAGGTTCAAGCCAGATAGGGTCCCACACTGAGAAGGGGGAAGTGGACACAGGCTTCCATTCCTGAGCAAGAAGCTGTCTCCAACTGACATCTGCTTACAAAGAGAAAATGAGTTTTCTTCAATGCAGTCTCACTAGGTATATTAACCACTGTGGTAATTTGAGTAAGAATGGTCCCCATAGGCTCATATATTTGAATGCTTAGTCAGCAGGGACTGGCACTATCTGAAAGGATTAGAAGAATTAGGAGGTTGTGTGCCACTGGACTTGGAGAAGTATGTCACTGTTAGCCTTTGAGGTTTCAAAAGTCCATGCCAACTCCTTTGCTTACAGATCAGGATGTAGCTCCCAGCTACTGCTTTCAGGTACAACACCCTGATGGCTAGCCACTGTGTTCCCCACCATGATGATAAAGGACTGAACCTCTGAAACTGTAAGCAAGTTCCAATTAAATGTTTTCTTTTCTAAGAGCTACCTTGGCCATGGTTTCTCCTCACAGCAATTGGGCAACCACACTCAAGGACATACCCCATGCCCAGCAGCAGATGACCAACACAAAAGATCTCAATGGTATTTTTGTAGACTTTTTTTTTGTCTTAAATTGCTTTGAGCATTTCTTTTATTAGTCTTTCACTCATGTATTATGATTTCTGATTCACATTTTTATGGCTTTTTGGTATGTATGTGTAGAAAAATGAGTTTTCAATAATATAAACTATATATACAATATGATACTATATTATGTAACTACATATATATATATAGATATATAGATATACACATGTATATAGTTCATGCAGGATTTCTATGGTAATGTTTCTGTAATACAATAAAGACTGGAGAAAACTGATAGACTGGGTAAAGAAGTATAAAAGACAGACAAAATGCATAGAATTTATTTTAAACTTAAAAATAGAGCTCTCTTTTAGCTAAATGATCAATATAATCCTGTTATAAAAATACTTTACCCTTTATTCCTTGGTAGTGTAGCACCTGGTAAGTTACCCTTGTTTAAATAAATGACCCCAACTCATGTTTATGCAGGCAACCCTAGTTTTAGTGGCCTTCTTAGAGTCCTCAGAATTCATCTATAATTTATTCTAATCTTGGGAAGTGAGACTGTATGTATAAAGATGTGTATGTTTTGAAGGACCCACACATAAATACAAACATGTTTGAGGAACCTGAGAATAGAGACACAGCTGAAAGCTGGGGGTCTGAGAAATGAGAAGATTGCTAGGCAAAGAAGTGGACCTGACAGAAATGACAGGACCTGACATGCAGGTCCTGGAGGGGGGGTGCGGGGTCTTCAGGGACACAAGTGTAGGACCATCACAGATAGCCAGGCCAGCTACAGATGATGGCTGCAGGCTCGTCTAAAGAAATAGTACAGGTAACGGAACACACTGCACTTCATGACTTCCCTTTTGCCTGGAATACAGTCCATGTTCTGAGAAGCCTTGATCTTGCGTTAGAGGATATTTTTGGTCACAGTGCATAAAGAGTGATGCTATCAGGCAGGGTACAGCTAACAGTGGAAAGGTTGCAAATTTTGCAACATGTAAAACCCAAAGCTCCCTATAGAGAGAGACTGTGTAGGGAGAAGGCTTGCTATAACGTCACACAGTAGCTGCTCCTGTGCGAAATACCCCAACCTTGCCTCCTAGTCATGGTAGAGGGATGATAGCCCCTTGTACTGCTAGTTTGAAGAGCTAACTTACCTATAACACTCAGTGCCAAAATATCACTGCGTTGGGGCCCCCGGCCATTGTCAGCCTCACAGAAGAAGTTTCCAGAATGTTCTGCAGTCACAGAGAAGTTGAAGGACCCTCTTCCTCCAGAAGGGGCTAAGCTGCTCCCCAGGGTGACATTTTGGTGATAAAAGTGGTACAGGATTGGAGGAGAGCCTCCCAGAGCCTCACAGTGAAGCTCAACCACATCACCCACCACAGCCTGGGCCCCAGGGACCTTGAGTGTGAGTACAGGGCGGGACACTGGAACTAAGGGAGAGGATGAGTTAGTTCACATTAGTGTCTTTTATTTTTAAATTAAAAAAAAACCAATATATTAAAAAGTAAATTAACAATGAGAATTTTTGTCACGTATTTTCATTTTCTAGAGCTCACATCTGTTGAATATTTCACATCTTCCTCTGTTCTTTTTCTTTCTTTCCTCCCTCCTTTGTTTTTTTCCCACCTGAGGTAGAGTCTAGTTATACAGCCCAGGCTGGCCTTGAATATTAGCTTGTTGTCCTCCCAAGTGCTGAGATCAGAGCTCTGCACCACCACAACTAGATGTTTTGCATCTTTCCTCTGTATGAGTACACTCACACCAACGCATAAATAAACACAGAAACGCATACATGGGATCGCAGAGTACACACTGGCTTATAATCTGCTTTTGCCTTTAGCATTGTGAAAGCCCCAAATGAAGTATTGTTCTGACTGTGATAATTGGTGTGGCAGAGCCTAGTCCACAGAGGGGGGTACCATGCCTGGGGTAAGTGGTACTGGCTACTTAAGAAAGCAGGCTGAGCAAGCAGTGGAGAACAAGTCGGTTAAGCAGCACTAACTTTTCCTCCCCAGGCTGCTTTTGGTTGGCTTTATCACAGTGATGAGATGCTAACTAATCCACAAAAAACTCAGTGCAGTTGAGTCCCAGGGCAGTAAATTCTGGGGCTAGCAGAAGCCTTATGAAACAGAAGTTATGAGGTGGGGAAGCTGAGTTCATAGCACTCAACACCAAGGGCAGCAGAGACAGGGAAATACAGGAAGAAGCTATTTGGAGGACTTAATAGAGTAATGGAAACTTCTAGCTTACTGGGTGTCAAAAACCCCTCCCCCAAATAGTTCTATTTTGAGAACTATATTCTATTTTGTGAGAAATCTTCTAATTCTTGCCTGAGTTGGCTATGTTGTCTTTCTTATTTTTTCTTACTCTCAAGGAAGCCTTGCAACAAATTCTCACCTAGCTAGGGCTAGGACTCCTGGCCCCTTTTCCTTGTGATATGAAACAGTCTGCCACATCAGACTCAGTATTTTCAACAATATGTTCTATTGCTTTGAAAAACAACAACAACTAGATTTTTGATTTCTCCTAAACAAAGATCTAAGTACAAATAGAAGCAAATTTGTTCCTTCAGTGACTCTTCAATGACCTGTATATTAAATAAAATGAGGACATGACTACTAACTACAAGGCATGGTTAAAGAGAAGTTTCCTTCCTTCCTTCCTTCCTTCCTTCCTTCCTTCCTTCCTTCCTTCCTTCCTTCCTTCTTTCTCTCTCTCTTCCTTCCTTCCTTTATTTCTTTTCATCTGTCTCTCTCTCTCTCTCTCTCTCTCTCTCTCTCTCTCTCTCTCTCTCTCTTTCTTTCTTTTTTTGTCGATATGAGGGATAGTACAGCCAGAGGCATCTGGAAGAGTTCAGAACAGGGAGAGAAAGCAGTGGACTGAATATGGCCATCAGAGTAAGCTGGGCCATTCAAGGAGGGCAAGGGGGGCAGGGAGCAAAAGAATAGGATCAAGAAGGAGGGGCTAGAGAGAGGGGCAAGCAGACCAAGAGAGGCCAAGAGCCAGAAGGGCAAAGAGAACCAAGAGGGTGCATGGTCCAAATGGCAGGGTTATATAGGAATGAGAAGCTGCCCAGGAAGGGAAATCCTAGGCTGGAGTTTAAGGTAGGGGTAGGGGGCAGGGTGAGGAGAGCTGAGAGAAGCCAGGATGCCAGCATGAGACTCAGCAAGAAGCCCTTATTGAGAGCGCCTAGAGGCCAGCATGCACTTTGGTACGCTAATAGGCACCACAGTTAGCCATTTGTTCAGGGTTTCTTTTGGACCCGACATATCTGTTTCTGCCACCCTTCAATAAAGGTCTAGAAAACTACATAATGCAAGTCCATTTGCTTAAATGGACTTCTAGTAAGAGGATGATGAAAACCCTAGAAAATTTTGCAAAACATTTTCCCCAGAAAGCCATTCTCTTCTTTTCTTTCAAACCTAGTCCTCTCCCAGCCTATGTAGAGAGCTGTAAGTGCTTGGAACTCTTCGGAAAAACTAAGGTCTTGAATAGTAATTGCTCATTCCTCTGTTCTGTAGAGAAGTGGGTGCCTCTGTTGATGAAGAGAATTTAGCTTGGGTACTAAACATTACAGGGCACAAGCAGACAGCATGAGATGACCATAAACATTTGTCGAAAGCTATGGAGCGAGGCAGGAGTCAGGTCTAGCCTGGGCTAGATGAGACCCACGGACAGTGAGTTGGCAGAGAAAGGAGCCTACAGCAGGGCTGGGGTGGTTAAGGAAACAGAGGTGTGTGGGTAGACTTCCAAAGGGTCTGGTGAGAGGTAAATCTGTGTAGCATTGAGTATCAGCGGGAACCCAGGTCTTACCAATGACAGAGATCCTTACAGCCTCACTGCGCTGGGCTCCCAGGCCATTGTCAGCGGTGCAGTAATAGTTTCCAGAACGCTCTGTGGTCATAGAGAAATTGAAGGATGCTCCTCCTCCAGAGATCATAGAGTTGATATCCAGGAAGACATCTTCATAATAGAACTCATACTGGATATGTGGAGAACCCCTCAGGGATTTACAGTGAAGTGTCATCAAGTCTCCCTCAAGGGCCCGCGTCTTGCCAGTGCTTAGGGTGAGGACAGGTTGAGATACTGGGACTGAAGGACAGAAAGTGAGTTGCCAGTTACTTCTGTTTGGTTCTGTAGATCTCAATCCATGGCTAATGCAAATACCTAGTCTCCAGTCTACCAGACCTTGGGACAACTCAACCTCTAAGACTTGTTATCAGCAGTCTCCTGACTTCCATGCTGGTCTTTCATCTGTTCCTCTCCCATCCTCTGGCCTTGTCCCTCCTGACCCTCATGTTTGATAACCAGCCTTCATTTTGCAGAAACGATACCTTCGGGGGGGGGGACATCTGTATTTTGCTGTCTCAGGACTGACACCCTTGCCCTGATCAACCCTTTGCTCTTTGTGTGACCCGCTTGCTTTTCTGCATTTTAAGACTCTATGGTGGTTCTCCATTTCTCTACTCAGGGGAGTGTCAGTGTTTTTGCCAGGAGCTTTTCCCTTCTGAATTCACATGCTCTTCCAGGGTGTTCTCCTTAGGTCCTACCTTCTCCCAGGTACCCAGAATGATCCTCTATTTACAGGTGAGAAGTTGAGCAGGGAGAGATAAGGATTCTAGGTGGATGGGAGCTCTAGCCTGTTAGGAGTGTGCAACCTGCCCTGGATGTGACCTGATTCTGGATGTGACCTGATTCTGGATGTGACCTGATTCTGGATGTGACCTGATTCTGGATGTGTCCTGCCCTGGAGGTGACATGACCCTGGATGTGACCTGACCCTGGAGGCTGCTGCTTACTTTTGATGGACAGTAACTTCTCCTTGCTCCATTGCCTGGGCACAGGAGTCATATTTCAAATGTTCAGTGAACAGAGAGAGGTGTTGAGGTCTGGGGGCCTTAGGATTTCAGTCTCATGGTAAAACCAATGGGCTGGAGGGAGGTGTTCTCTTGGCCTCCTGGTGAAGCTCTACCACATTCTCCACAGTATCTCACTATAGGAGCCTGAGGGTAGGAAAAAGAACATTGCCACTGGGGCTTGAAGATGCAGCAGTGTGGTCAGGGTGGGTCCCTGAAGATACTTATGTTTATAGTAAGATTTTTCAGGAGGCATCTGGTTCTAGCATCCCATCTGTTCTTCCCTTATAAAGAGCCATTTCATTTCAACTGAGAAGTAATTTGTAATTTACAAAGGGTGTATTCCTACTCACTGAGCATTTTCTTCAGCCTGACTCTCTGAGAGTTCCCACTGCCCTCAGCCCCTCCTGTATATTTTGAAGTCTTCCCTGTTAGTGTCTGACTAATGCCTGGCAGGTTATTCAGAGCATTGGATTATCGGTAACTGACAATATCTACTTCCACCCTACTGTCTTAAGTGCCCACTAAGGCTCTCTGTGTGTAGTTTGGGGAATGCATTCATCTGATGATGCCTGGCAGCACGCACCTTTTATGGTGATGGGGACTGCCTGGCTGACAAAGCTCCGGCGACTGTTGTTGGCTTCACAGAAATAATCCCCTGAGTCACTGCTGTTCACCGTGGAGATCTTGAATTCTGCTCCCAAGGACTTAGGGATCTTTGTTTCTTTATTCATTGTGTCCCTTTTGTACCAGGAAAATTTGATGGGCCCTGGGACCCCTTTTACTGAGCAGTTGAATAACAGCAGCTGTCCTTCTGGCACCAACTTTGAGCCTGGGACAATGTGTGTTTGGAAGTCTGCAAAAACCCCTAAATAAACAAGAATGACATGTGTGGGATGCTTGGTGATGGGATTCTCACAGATGAGGGGTGGGGAAGACAAAACCTGTTGTATCATGTGAGAAGAGTCCTAAGAGTAGAGTTAGGCTTCTCTCTGGGAAGTGGCCCCAGGGTGGAGACTGTGTTTCTTGCCTGCTGAAAAAATGGCCTTATCAAGAATATGGACCAGGAATATAGGTTATTCTGCCCAACCTGACCTCATGTCTGCCCATCCTGATAGGGCAATTCCAGAGATGTCACCTAGTTCTCCACACTTAGGAGAAGTGGTGGAGATGCGAAGGGGAAAGGGGGACTTGGCATCAAACATGATTGCCCCGAGCGCAGCGACAGCACCGTTGATTGGAAATGAAGCATTCGCGTAAGTCATAGGCTGGCCTTGAGTCAGCACTACTTAACTTCTCTAGTATATCTGTCAGGTGGACAGGGAGTAAGTCCAAGATAGATTGACAAGGGAGGGTCATCTGTGCTGGGAACAGTTTTAGGTACATAGCTTACACAGTGCCTTTTGAACTATTCTCCAATCTTGGAGAACACAATATGGCAGTTGATAGAGGGTGGGAAGCAAGTGTGGTTCAGCGATTATGCTGAAGGAGGAGCGACTGTGCTAGGGACCATTGTGATATGGCTGTTGGATAATGCCCTCTCTGATTTCTCTGAACCGGAAGCCACAGGAACAACCTTTTCCTACAACCAAAGAGCAGACGGATAGTTTAGTAAGTGTGGGAGAAACATTGCTTTCTTAGGAATGGGAGCAAATTCATGGGTAATGCTATCATTTCCCTTCCCTCTTCACTCAGAATCTGGGTATTTTAGATTGTGTGTCTGTCCCCTACTATGCTCAACTAGATTTCCTGTGTGATGGACCAAATTCAGTCAGGCAAGGCCACTGGCTGAAGATCTGTTTAAGAAAGCGAGTTTTTTTTTTTTTTTTTTTTGAGTCTGAGGAAAAAGTGATAGTGTGTGCAGCTCAATCTCTAAGGCCATCAAGATGGAAATGTTTATTCCCCAAGACTTCATCCTTTGTCTTTCTTATCCTTAAGCAGCTGCATAAGGTACCTACTGTTCTAGAAACCCATCTATTTGGCCGAGCAGAATGTTCATCCTAGGATGAGGATAACTCACAGTTTAGGACTATAACACTGGAAGGAAAACATGTCAGGGAGAGATAAATGGCTTTATCTAAAGGCATCGAGAGAAAAAAACACCCCCCCTTTTTTCTTGGTTCTAAGCTCATCAGGGATATCCACAGGAGCTGAGTATTTTCTCTTGTACACCTTCCACAGGCATGAGAAAATACTTTCTATAGAGACTAGTGACTCAATCTGGTGTGTGCTTCTGCATAACTTCCAGTCCATACCCGGGAAATCTCAGAATGATACTCACTGTGCACAGGAATTTTCAGTGGCAGGCTTTGTTTGATTACTTGGGCATTCATTGTTTTTGCCTGGCACAGGTACCACGGAAAATCTTCAGTCCATATGGCAGGAATGTGGAACTCCGAGGAGTTGCTGCAGCCTGACCCCAGAGCCTGGAAGTTTCTGAAGAAACAGAACTGGATCTGGTCATGTGACCTCTGTGCAGGGAGCTGAATATGACAGGTCAGGGTCACCGGGCTTCCATCTATGGGTTGAGAGGGTCTGGCTGTCAGCAGAGGACGTGGGAACAACTCTAGAAAGGATCATAGTCATCCACAGAGCCGTTAAGTTCTCTGCAGAAAAACCCCATTCATCCTTAGCACCTGCAAGCGTGTGGAGTGACGCCGCTCGCTCACCAAACGCCAGCGAGAGAGAGGTGCCGCTTTTGGTTACCAGCATCCTTCCACTCAAAACACTGTTTGTGTTTTCTCTCAGTGAACTTCCAGTCCCCCCTTCTCCCTATTCTACCTCTACAACCATAGAGAGCTTGCCTCTGACTAATCTGTTCAGAATAATTAAAGCCGTACCTTGGACTTGGATTTTGACCTTATTGGAAGAACTGGGGAACACAGACTTCTTAGTGCAGTAGTACTCATCGTTGTTCCTCAGATTTTCATGATGAATATGGAGCTCGGAACCTTGACCATGTGTTTTCAGAGCGACATCATTCTTGTAAAATATCAGGGTGTTTTGTGCTACAGTTTTCTTTGTGCGGCACCTCAGAACCACAGAGTCTCCTTCAAATATTGCGGGTGGAGCTTGCAGCACCAGTGAACCTGTGAGACAAACTCAGCCCATCACTTACTCTTTCTCCCACGTCTCATTACTATCCCGAGTAGGCTTTACAGGAAGGGGGACTGGAGAAAGTGTCCTTAGTTCTTTTTGAGTTTAAAATAAACACCTGCAGTTTGATAAAAGCTGGAAGGCAGAAGGCACGTTAAAAAGCCCCTGCCACCATGGGGAATCAACCTTTCAGTTCCTTTTCCCATGTTGGTGTATGTTTTTTTTTCTCTCTTAGGGGATTTTAATGAGCTGTATCTATTTTCCAGCTTGCCTTTCATTTGACTAGTGCGTTCTCAAGTTGCATCACCACTGAAACGAAGGATTTCCAGTAGCCATAGTTTTCCCTCAATATGAGCAATATAATTTAATGAGGTTTCCTGTTCGTTTAGGGGCCTTCATTTTGGGGTGTGTAGATTTGTATGCTTCAGCAGGTAAATGCTCAAGGGAATCATTAGGCCAAGGAGCATAGCCTTTTCCCCTTTCCTTGCTAATTAGTGTGTTTTCCTGCTCACTAAATCAAAGGCAGTCATCACAAGGCTGACACTACTTCAACTTCAGAACAGGATGTTTTGAGACCAAAAGAGAAAATGCCTCCCTCCTTTGTCCCACTCCCTCTCGTTGTGTATCTATAAAAATCAATTTATTTCTATCTAACGTTTACATATATTTATAAATATGAACGTCCTTATGGTACTTACTATTCCTAGTAAGGAAAATTGATTCAAGAACCATTCAAATAAATTGCTTTTCCATGAGCAGTTTATAAACACTACATATTCTTGGGGCTCAAGAGTCTCAGGTTTTGAGTCTGTAAATACAGTGTCAGTTAAGTCACAATGGTCTTTCTGATTCAGGACAAACTTTAAGGACCACAGGGATAGAAGTGGGTGGGTGTATTTGCCTCATCCAGAACTAAATTAACTGTTATAACAATTAGACCTTCTGTATGCACTAATTGAAGTTACTGCTTACTAAGCTGAATAGATTTTATACAGACAATTTAAATTTTTATTGATTTTTAGGTTTGAATTTAAGCCAATTCTGTTCTATATCTGGTTTTATGTGTAACCACGACATGAAATTGAATGGTTTGTTCAGTGTGGTGAGTAATAATTACATCTATAGAGAAAACTGGACTGAAATTGTGTTTAAAGTTTTATTTCTCTTCCATCTCACCTGTATGAAAGTTTAAGTGCACACGGATGCTTAGAAGTAAGTCGTCGGCTTGGCATTGGTACACTCCGGACACACGGACCGTTACGGTGTGTTTTTGGATTCTCCCTGATGCTTCTCTATTACCATAATACCATTTTGTTTTCTGGGGTAAGTTGAAGTCATATCTATAGCAAGTCAAAATCACCGTCTCTCCTTGAAAGAAAGTGGTCCAGGGAGGTTCAAGAGAAATCACAGATTGGGGTGCAGTTTCTGAGGATGAGAGAAAATGAGTCTGTAGCAGAAGTGCTCACAGTTTCTGTTCCAGAAGGGCCCTGTGGGATAGACAGGAAGGACCTGGCTTTGGACCATTCCCAAGAGCCCTGTCCCCACAAGTTCACTGATGGCTGAAGGCTGTGAGTCATCCAGGAGCACCTCACCACCCACAGGGAAGAGCGATTGCCCACTGATGGCAAGACAATTTCTGGAGGCACAATAGCAAGATTTACCGTAACACCAATGGAAGTGGGTCCTAGATAAAATCACCTCTTCATAAGCCCACAAAGAACTACAGAATCATTAAAATCACAACTTTGTGTTTTCCCTAAAAGAATAAATAATTTTATCATCAGGTTTTGACACTAGAAAAGTTTGATCAATGTATGTAACTGCCTTGTTTCACAGAGGATGGTTTCAATGACTGGAAAACCCATCCTCACTAGCTGTCAGAACAAGAAATAGATAGTCATCTGCTGACACTCCCAGGGGAGCTAGATAAGGGCATGACAGGGTGGCCAGTTGTGGGGAGACTCCTTGGTATTACTTTAGATCCTCAAATATCCAAAACCCCACTGATCCAGGAAATTGGTAATGAGTCAGGGCTGAGAAAGTGTGTGTCCTAATGTTAACTTGCTGCAAATTAGAACCACCTAAGTAGGGAATGTCACTTGAAGAGCTGTCTGGATTGATGTAAGAAGCCCCACTTGGATTGTGGGCAGCACTCTGAGGTAGCAGCCCAGATAGAAAGGGCTTTCAGAAGGAAGATCTCCTGCCTCTGGCTCCCTTGGCCCTCCCTCTGAAAGGATCTGGCCTGCAGCTGCCTCCCTCTGAAAGGATCTGCTCTGTTGCTGCTGCTGCTGCTGCTGCTGACAGTAGAACCAACCAACATTCCAAGCTTTCATAGTGGACTAGGGACCAGCGGCTCTGGGAACCTTTCAGACTTTGGGCACCAGCCACATTGGGAGTGCTGAGGCACCCTGCTATATAGATTGAATAACTGCTGCGTCTCTCACCCTGGTGAGGCCCAGCTATTCTGGGACTACTCCAACTGTGTAACTTCTGGGTTCTCAGCTTCTCAGGTGTGTTTTAGCTATTGTTGCTATTTTAAAGCACACTCAATAAATTCTGAGATATATAGTTCTGACTAAACACTCTGCTCTTTCCCTTGAGTGGCTCCAACTGTTGAACACTCTTACTTCCCATGCACTCCCTGGAGGATTTAACTCTTAAAGGACCATAGGAAACAATGTTACAGTATGCATTGCCCTTGTGTAGTGTTTCATAGTTTTCCTAGTTGACTGATTGGAGAGGAATCCATCCTGAGTCATTCACATTTACTGCAGAGGTAAAGATGATTCTCATTGCTAAGAGGGGCCCATTGGCAACAGAATTCAAGGCAGGGCCTCAGAAAGAGACACCCCCCCTCCCCCCCCATTGACCCTCTCACCCAGGGAGCACCAGTGCTAGAGGACAGCAACAAGTAGCTCTGGCTTGGAGCAGTCCGTTGGAGTCAAGGGGCCAGCCATCACTTGTGAGTCCTTCTGGGCCTCAGCAGGAAATATGAGACATTAGGTAGAAACTCTTCCCAAGGACTCACAAAGCAGAAGAGAGGACTCACCATATGGTTCACTGACAGGAGCTGGAAACAAAACAAGCAAACAACAAAAACCAAGAGTAAGAGATGAAAGCTCAGAGTATGGACTTTTTCTTCTTATTTGAAAATATGTGTTTCCATATCCATTTTTACTACTTCTCATGAAAAATTCATTTATAAAAATGTTGACAACTGTTTGTCAAATGTCTATATGTATGAAGATATTACCCATTAAAGATAAATTTAAAAATGCTACTTTCTGGCAAAATGTAGAATACTGGAGGCAGATGCAATGATAGCAAGACACATGGGCTAGACAGCTTAATGTGGAGAGAGAGAGAGAGAGAGAGGGAGAGAGAGAGAGAGAGAGAGAGAGAGAGAGAGAGAGAGAGAGAGAGAGAACGAGTGCTGAAGAGGTGGGAATACTATGGATGATACTTACAGGAAATTATGACCATCCCAGTGAAGGTTAATACTTGCGTCTGACATAAGAGCACAAGAGGGCACAAAATAAAGGACACTGGCGTTCAGAAGTGGACTGCCAGCTCTGGCAGGTGAGGAGTGGTGGGAGAAATACAGTGGGAAGGAATGCAGGGCCAAGTGGGTAGCTCCAGTTTTCTTGACCTCTCCATGTTCAGTGAGTTGTGTGGATGTTGTCTTCATCAATGGGGCCTTGCTGCCAGATCGTGGAGAGCAACCTATAGTCTTGTCAACAGCCTGAGTTGTTTGGGAATTTCCACTATATTCTAGTGTCTTTGGCAAAGGAAGGTACTCTGCACACTACCAAGAGAGAAATGTAAACCAACCCTGCTGCAAATCTTCTGATCTACAATGGTGTCCTGCTTGAAAGACATGCTAGGGCAATGGTGGCACAAAACTTGTGCAAGTAAACAACCAGTAACTGATTTGACTTAAGGCCCATTCCACAAGAAGGAACCCATACCCAATACTGCACTGCCTGGGTGACCAAGAACCAGAGACTAGATAGTCCAGAAACTGAAAACCAAACACTACTGGTCTTAAAAAACAAAAATAATAGTGATTAAGTAACTCCTGGTGATAATCTCATATACTCATAGATCAGTTGCATTGTTCAGCCATCATTAGAGAAACTTCCTCCTGCAGTATATGGGAACAAATACAGAGACCCACAGCTAGACATTATGCAGAGAGAGAAGGAGAGAGAGAGAGAGAGAGAGAGAGAGAGAGAGAGAGAGAGAGAGAGAGAGGTATGAACTGACAGAACATGCTTATCCATGAGCAGTGACGTAGTCACCTGCTGTGGGTGCCCTTCCCTTCCTGCTTTCCCATGTGTCCATCTCTGACTTCCACAGGGTTCTCATTGTGCCCAGTCGGTCTGTGGCTGGCACGCATGTGCAGAAAGAGCCATCCTCTATGTGAATCCCTTGTCATCTCATTCACAAGACCAGGAAGGGCCTGTCATACAAGGAATTAAAATATAGCTCTCCAATCGTGATTCATTTTCTGTGTTTTATAAAGTATTTGTTAAAGAAAAAAAGTGGAACTTTAATTATTGCTGTTGTTACAGTTTCCTCCCCTGCTGATGGAAGGATTTTTCCACCTGTAACTACTTTCCTTGGGCTAAGGAGGGGAAATCCTGAGCTGTGCAAAAGTTGGGGAATACAGTCTCATGTGGGGAAACCCTGTGGCGGTGAAATTCAAGAGATGACCAGGCCTGTGGTGGAGAGAGACGGATACTGCCCACCCACTCCAGGCCCCATACTGAGCCATCTACTTACTCACAACTGGTAGAGCCAACCACAGCGACATGAAGACCACCCAGGGCGAGACTGAAGGAGGCATTTCCTCACTGGTAGCAGCTGGCTCCTGCTCTTGATCTCACAGTAGTCAATATGCAGCTCACACCAGCTCCAGTAAGGATATCTGGGAAACTGCTCTTCTAAAACAGTAGAGTGCATCTTGAATCAAAAAAGGAAGTAGGAGTATCTAAATTTAACTATTAATTAGTTCCGTTCCCTACAGCCAAAGTGAATCACATGCCCCCAACCCCGTATTTCAGCCGTTGGGAAATTACCTTAAAGAAACTACAAGAAGATAGTTCTATGAAAGATGTCTGTCACTCATCACTGTCTGAACAGGGCAGCATCATACATGATACTGTAAGATAGTCTTAATGGTGAAGTGAAGTTACACATGTGCAAAGGGCAAGAGCATCTGGTGGGAGAGAGAAAGTGGTGTGGATTGGTATTTGTAGTGTGCCCTGTATGGAGCAGAGGTAAGAAATGGAATGTATGTGCTTATGGAAAACTCTAAGGGTATGTTTTCCTTAGAGTACATGAAATAACAGTTGTATTTGAGAAATTAAGGGGGGAGTAGGCATTTCATTATGTCTTTCTGTGCTGTTTTTTCCCCTTCAAATTATTATGTGAATGGATTGCTTTTAAATTTCAATTTAATTTTTTTTTTTTTTTTTTTTTTTTTTTTTTTTTTTGGTTTTTCGAGACAGGGTTTCTCTGTGTAGCTTTGGAGCCTATCCTGGCACTCGCTCTGGAGACCAGGCTGGCCTTGAACTCACAGAGATCCACCTGCCTCTGCCTCCCGAGTGCTGGGATTAAAGGCGTGCGCCACCAACGCCCAGCTTCAATTTAATTTTTTAAAAGTCAAATTTCCAGTCTGACAGTTGGTCAACAAAGTTCCCTGATACAAGAAGTGAGAGTTTTTTTTTTTGTTGTTGTTGTTTTTTTTTTTCTCACAGACGACTTTCCTCATAGTTTCTTTTTGGACTTGGATCTTGGTCTTCCCCGAAAGATATCTAATTTCATATTTATCAATGCTTCAGGCATTTATGTCACATCAATCTCACTGTGCCCTGAGAAAAACATAGAGATAAGCAAATGGATCCATCTCAGTTTAGGAGGAGACTCTCCAAGGGAAGCTGAGACAGCATGCAGTGACCATTCTGCATGTCTACTGTGGATATACGCACCTGTTTCTACTGGACATGCACTTAGTGGACTTGCTGGCTTGTAGACTATGCCATACTGTGCTGATTAATTACTTTCTATAGCAGGCTTTCTTTTGGGCCACCAACCAGCTTCCAAATCATGACATGGAGACTTATTAGTTATGAATGCTTGGCCTTAGTTTATGCTTGTCCCACTAGCTCTTATAACTTATTTTAACCTGTTTTCTTCATCTACATGTTGCCTTTCTCTCGTTCTGTGCATCCTGCTTTCACTGTTTCCTCCATGTCTGGTTGGCTGGTGGCTTCCTGGCTGGCTGGCCCTGGGATTCTCCCTCTCTTTCTCCCTTGTTCTCTCTTCCCTCCTTGAGTCGAGATTCCTCCTCCTACTTATTCTCTCCGCCTACCAGCCCCACCTATCCCTTCTCTGCCTAGCTAATGGTCATTCAGCTTTTTATTAGACCAACCTTAAGCAGGCAAAGCAACACATCTTTACATCATTAAACAAATGCAGCAGAAACAAATGTAGCACACCTTTACATAAAGTAATATTTTGAAATAACTTTCTGATATGACAGAGTTAGAACTCCATCAGGCTGCATATGAGAGCCTCATTGCTCTCCCACCCTCAGGAGGAATTGTGCTCATCTTGTACATTTTAGCAATTCTGATGAATATGAGATCCTAACTTTTTCATATTGTATGGTTTATTTATTTATTATTTTTTTGAGACAGGGTTTTGCTATATATCTCTGGCTGGCCTGGAACTCACTCTGTAGACCAGGCTGGTCTTGAACTCATAGAGCTCTGTCCTGGTTTCCCAGGTTCTGGGATTAAATGTGTGAACCACTATACCTAAAAGGCTTTTTCATATTTAGATGGTATTTTAGATCACGTTTTAAATGTGAAGTATTTGTTCAAATCTCTTAGTCTTTCTCATACTGTTTTGTAGTTCTTTCAAATTCTGGACATTAATTTTTTTGACATATGTGTGAAATGTCTTTCTTTACTCTGGCTTCCCTTCTCGGTTACTGGTATTGCCTTTTTATGAATTACCGTTTGAGATCTGGTGTAGAACAATTCTTCTGTCTTTCCATTTATGACTAGGTATTTTTACAACCCCTTCATAAACTCTGTATACTCCAAGGTCATTAGGATACTCTCAGCTTGTCTCTAGATATCTATAATATCATTATATCTAATTTTCATCTGTATCATAAATGAACATGTTTGTTTACATTTAGTGTTAGTAAATGATAAAACAATAGTATATAAAAGAATTGCTTTAAAAATACATTTCTTTATGGTTTATTGCCAGTAAATGTTTGACATATATGTGTGGCTTAAATACCTAAAAACCAAGC